TGGAGCTCCCTATGGGGCCACAAATCGCGCGAGGGGTGTGCCAAAATGGAGCGGCGCCGCCATGCGGACTGCGCCAGTGGGACGTTAGGTGGAGCCCCCTTATCGTGCCACGAAGCACGTGAGGGGCGTGCCAGAGTGAGGCGGTGACGGAGGGAGGAAGGGGAGGGAGGAGAAGAGAAGAGGAGAGGAGAGGAGAGGAGAGGAAAGGAGAGGAGAAGAGATGAGAAAAGACGAGAGGACTGGATAGGAGAAGAACGCGGGGACCGTCTTTTCAAAACGAAGACCCAAAACCACATAATGGTTTTAGACCAAAAAACGCAACGATGTCTGCGCGCCCGCGTCGTCGCGCGCGCAAGCCAGAATTCGTTGAAGACCATCGGTTGTACAAAGCTTTCAATATCGATTTCGCGAAACCATACCGCCATGTTTGCACAAATGTGAAGCGCTGTCATGCAGCACGAACGGACAAAAAAAAACTGCGCGCGTTCATGCACACATCGTTCGGCAAAACATACGAGTCTTAATCGATTAAGCGTAAACGACCAAAAAGGCTTTTCGCGCGCGCGTGTAGAAATCATTCGAACACCTTTTGCGCGTTTGCTGCGGAAGGCACGGCCCATGTCAAATAACAGCACGCGGGCCGCTCGCGCCCGCCTGCCGCGTGCGCGCGTCGAAAGTTTTCCACAACCTTTATCACCGACACATGGGCGCCAACATCGACGCCCGCGCGATCGGCATCGGCGCCGTCATTGTCTTTGCCGTCGTCATCGTCACCATCATCACCGGCATCGTTGCTATCGTCATCGCGTCTGCCATTGTCGACGTCGCCATGATACCGCGACCGCCCGACCCACCGACTCGCACTGAAGTGTCCGCGCGCCAGCGCGGCCTGCAAAACGCGCTGCGAAATCCCCCGCGGCAAGAGCCAACGCGGCCGCTTCTGTCGCGCCAGAGTAGCCGACCAGCCGCTCTGCGCGCGAGGCCACGCGCGCAAACGCGGCCGCAGCGACGCGGCAGCCAGCTCCAAGCACTCATCGAAATCGCCGACGCATGGGTCTCTCGCTCGCCAATCCTTCCACTGAGTTCGCACCATCCTAGCCAGGCCGGTCTCGACCCCCCCCGCCATCCTCTGCAACAAATGAGATTCGCACACTATGGCTTATCAAAATTCATCCGTTTACAAAAATCCCTTTCAAAAATGGGACGAAGTGCGCACGCTCGCGTCGTCGCGCGCGCACGCCGAAGTACTTCAAAAACCTGCGGTTTCGTGAGGATTGCAAAATCGATCGAGAACATATAGAAACACATCGTCTTGCAACAATGAGCTTCAACAAACAAGCAAAAAACGGTCCGCGTGTTTGCGAACTCTCGTAAAAAATCGGTGTCTCAACATGTTCATGACATGTTTCCAAATTGGCCCGTCGTTCGCGCGCGCGTGTTGTCGCAAGAACCCCTTTTCTGCAAAAATGTGACGAAATTCACACGCGCGCGCGTGGCCGCGCGCGCATGCCGAAATGCTTGAAAATCTGCGTACACGTATATGTACACATAGCATATTGTGCAAACTCAGAACCTTTTTTATAAATAACAAATGCGCTCGCGCCCTTGCGGCACAAAACCATAGTTTGCCCAACATGTGAATCACATTTTGCCAAATGTGCATCTCGCGCCGCATGCCGAAATGATTCGAACGCTCTTGCGCGCGCGCTGGGATGGGGGACAAGATTCGTCTCAAATCATACCGCGCGGGCACCTCGGGCGCGTCGGCCGCGCGCGCATGTCCAACTCCTTCTAAAACATTCATCGCCGACGGGAGGACCTTCGTTATCGGCGGGCGTGATCAACATCGGCGCCGACATCGGCCTTGCCGTCGTCATCGCCACAATCGTCACTATCATGGCTACCTCCATCAACGTGTCTACCGAATTCGGTGTCACCATGATACCGCGCCCGCCCAAGTCACCGACTCGCACTGAAGCGCCCGCTAGGAAGTGCCCAGCGGTAAGCGCCACCGCGACCGCGCCGGCCGCGCCAAACTAGCTGACCGCTGTGCGCGCGAGCATGCGCGGGCTATCGCAGCCGCAGAGATGCACCAGCCAACGCCAAGCACTCATCGCAATCGCCTACGCATGGGTTTTGCCCACCAAATTTCGGGTGGGTGGGTGGGATGTTTGCAAAAGCATGGAACGTGTCAACTTGTACCACAACAATTGCACTACATAAGTTGTACTCTATGTACTGCATCACGTAGACTGCACAACCTAGACTGCACCACACATCATGCTAGAACACACTGTTTGGGGCCCAAGCTGGTTAACATGTATGACACCCAGTTTCGTTTATGTTATTTGAGTGTGTCGTTTTCAACATCAAAAACGATGTTCCGTATCAAAGAGATCTTGACATGTTTCGCCATGTGTGACAACGCGTCTTACGGGCGCTTGCGTTGGGAACATTCGGCGGCGCGTTTCGAACCGGGGGGTGGGCGCCGACGATCAAAACCAGGGGGGGTTCCCCTTCTCCCCCAAGCCCCCCCCTCCCGAAACCACCCCCACCCCCCGGCGCCAGTGCCGGCGCTGGCGGCCGCCAGCAACGCCGACGGCGGGAACGCAGCGACGATGACCAGAGGCAGCCCAAGCGGGGGGGGGGTTCAAACCCCCCGCCCCCCGGGCGCCGGGGGAGGGGGGTTCAAACCCCCCCCCTTCCCCCTGGCGCCGGCGCCGGCGCTGGCGGCGGCCAGCAGCGCCAGCGCTGGCGCCGGCGACGGCGGGGACGCAGCGACGATTACCACCACTACCACCACCACTACCACCACCAACCCACCACCACCACCACCACACCACCACCACCACCAGCCACCACCACCACAACCACCACCACCATCACCGCCACAACCACCACAACAACCCACCACCACTACCACCACCACCACCACCCACCACAATCTACCACACCACCACCACCGCCACAACCACCACCACTACTAGCAGCACAACCCACCGCCACCACCACAAACCACCACACAACCACCACCATACCACCACCACCGCCACGACCACAAACCACGCCACCACCACAACCCACCACCACCACCACCACACCACCACCACACCACCACCACCACCACAACCATCACCACCACAACTCACCATCACCACCACCACAAAAACCCACCACCACTACCACAACCACCACCACCACCACAATCTACCACACCACCACCACCACCACCGCCACAACCACCACCACTATTAGCAGCACAACCCACCGCCACCACCACAAACAACCACACCACCACCACAACCACCACCACAACCAGCACCACCTCCGCAAACCACCGCCACCACCACAACCCACCACCACCACCACAACCACCACCAACCCACCACACCACCACCACCACCACCACCACCACCACCACCACAGCCACCACCACGACCACAACCACCACCATAACTCACCATCACCACCACAACCACAAATAACCGACCACCACTACCACCACCACCACCACAATCTACCACACCACCGCCACCACCGCCAAAACCACCACCACCACTACTAGCAGCACAACCCACCGCCACCACCATCAACCACCACACCACCACCACCACCACCACCGCCACCACCACCACCACCACGACCACAAACCACCGCCACCACCACAACCCACCACCACCACCACCACCACAAACCACCACCACACCACCACACCACCACCACCACACCACAACCATCACCACCACAACTCACCATCACCACCACCACCACCACCACCACAAAAACCCACCACCACTACCACCACCACCACAATCTACCACACCACCACTGCCACCAACGCCACAACCACCACCACTATTAGCAGCACAACCCACCGCCACCACCACAAACAACCACACCGCTACCACCACAACCACCACCACAACCAGCACCACCTCCACAAACCACCGCCACCACCACAACCCACCACCACCACCACCACAACCACCACCACCACACCGCCACCAAACCACCACCACCACCACCACAACCCACCACCACCACTACCACCACTACCAACACCACACCACCACCAAACCACCACCACCACCACCACCACCCACCACCACAACCACCACCACCACCATCACAACAACAAACCACCACACCACCACAACCACCACCACTGCCACCACCGCCACCACCACCACCACAGCCCACCACCACCACCACCACCACCACCGTCATCCTCGTCGACGCTCCCCGCCGCCGCCGCCCGCCGCCGCAGGCGTCGGCGCCCGCCCAGAAAAGGAAATCGTCGTCCCCGCCGCCGCAAATCGTCGTCCCAACCACCGCCGCCAGCCGCCGCCGACGCAAGAGCCGGCCCGAGGAGAGGAGGGGAAGCAGGGAAGGAAGGGAGGGGGGGGGCGGTTTCAACCCACCCCCCTCCAAGCGACCACAGAACGCGCTCTTTCCGCCATGTCTGGTCCTCTGGGGTCGCCGTCGCCGCGGCTAGCGGCTAGATCATTATTTTTAATGTTTGGAGCGCGCGGTCCTCGCGGAGATCTGCCTCCCACTGGCGCAAAGCACTGTGGAAGATATCGATCCGCTCGGCAATCGTGGCGCTCCTACCCGAGATGAAACATCTGGATTCTCGAGGTGCTCGAGCCTTCTGTCCCGTAGGCAAAACACGCGCTGAGCACTCGCGCCGATAGAATATTCCACGACGTTGGCGCAGGGCAGTGGGGATGAGAGATGTTGAGATACCTTGCAGGTGTGCGGATATGAATGCGATCGGAAACCAACTGGCTACGGAGCTGCTCATCATCCTTCTCCTCCTCCTCCTCCTCCTCCTCCTCCTCCTCCTCCTCCTCCTCCTCCTCACTCCCCCTCGAAGACGAGCGAGGGGAAGGGAAAGGAAGGGAAGGGTAGGGGAGGGGAGGGAGGAGGGATGACGAGGAGGAAGTGGACAAGGAGGACGAAGACGAAGACGAGGGCCCCCCGCCTGTACTGACACCCGTTTACGAGCAGCCCGGGAAAGCGTGCGCGCGCGAAGCGCTGCGGATAAACCCGTACCCTCTCTCGGACCACGATGTCACGACGCCATCGATGCGCCCGTCGGGTCCTTGCAGGTCCCGCGAAACTCTCCCTCCCCTGCTCTTCCCTCCTCGTCATCCTCCTCCACCTCCTCATCCACCTCCTCCTCCTCCACCTCGTCCACCTCATTCTGGTCCACCTACCCCACCTCCTCCTCCACTTCCTCCTCCTCCCCCTCTTAAGTACCCCTCCCCCTCCTCCTCTCCTCCACCGGTCTATCCCCCTTGTCAAGCTCCTAGCGCGTGTGGCTAGCCTTTCATGCGGACACTCATCCGTCTCCTCCTCCGCCTCCCCCACCTCGACTGAATCACAACGACACCGACCCGAGCGACGGATCCTTGAAGGATCGTCCCGCTGGCTCGCTGCGCTATGGCGGCCGCAAAGTCCCCGTCCAGCCTTTCTACCTGGACGATCAGAGGGAGGAGAAGCGGGGGAGGGGAAAGAGAGGGAAGGATGAAGGGGGAGGACGGAATGTTGAATTCGGAGGTGGGTGAACAAAGAAGGCAACACCCTGGTGTTTCAGCACTACGCAGCACCCCGCATGTCTTGTGCATCAAAGTGTGCCGTTGATAAGGGGCGGCGGAAAGACTAGTATCTTTACATGTGAATACATACATGCATACTTTGAAGAGGGAGACATGTTTGGACTCATCGTCCGCTTGGGAGATCCAAACAATCATGCTGCATACGAATATACAGACGAGCGTCCCCTGTCCTTACGTTTGTCTTACCAGCCGCCCCGCCACCCCCCAAAAAAAACAACTGCAACCCCCCAAATCCATAGCCCACGCGGGGAGCCTGGACGCACTTGCACAGAGCCCCCCCCAAGCCGCCCCTGCCGGGCACATCCGGCGATCCCGCGGCTACCCCTAACGCCCATGGCGGACCCATCGGAGGCGACCAGCACATCCAAAGGGGCGTCCATGGTGATCACACGGTCCCCCAGACGCGCGCGGGAAAGACCGCACAAAGGCCCTAGACAACCAAAATTGGTGTACAGAATCAACATCCCCGGCTCTTCGCCTCAAGATGGCTCCACGAGGGCCTCGGAGGAGCCAAAGAGACAACCAAGACGGCCCCAAGAAGCGGCCGAGGAAGCCTCAGGAGGTCTCGAAAACTGCCACAAGGGAGCCCCCAGACAACCAACGTAAAAGAACAAAACAAATGCCCCAAGAGGGCGCCCAAAACCAGTTGTCGATTCAGGAGGACGTCCAAGACAGACCCAAAACTGTCCCCAAGAGCCCTCCCCGATCTCTGATGGTTCCTAGCACCGTGCAAGCGACGCGAGGAGAAGGCCCCAACAGCTTCTGCAGCTGCTCCTCCTAGGCAGGGCCAACCACGCCAACAGCACGATTGAAAAAAAGCATCGCAAAACCTCTGCCTTCGAATCTCGAGCGAGCCGCGACGGCGACCCCATCACAAAGGATTCTTGCCAACCCCCTCCCCGGCGTTGGGCCAGTCGGGTCGCCCGAGCAGGCCTTGGCGGCGCGTCGTCTTCTGATGAACTGTATGAGTGACCTGTCGCCAATGATCTTGCAAAGCGGCCATATCGACTCGACGGTGGGAGCATGATTTCGCACCGCCACCCGCTGCCGCTGCCAGGCTCCTTGGACTGGCCATCGGCAGGGACTACAGAGGTCGACGGGTCGCGGACGGGTCGCGGCGGTCCTCCCATGGATCACCCAACGGCACCACTGTGGATTGAGACAACGACTCTGTGACGAGTTGAAACATCGTGAAGTCCTCTCTCTGCGTGGTTGCTGGACGGGCTCCGTGGGTGCCGGGCACTGCGGCGCATAGGCCGTTGCGTGCGATACTACTCTTTTTCTCCAACGCTGCAGCTTGATGCGGGAAACTTACACGCGGCACTGCATATGTATCCATATGTCGAGTAGCCAACTTTCTTTGTGGGATCACTCCAGAGTTAGGCTGCTCCACCAACCAGCGCGCGGCGCGGGCCCCGCCTGCACCGCCTGCCACTTGCCAGGGTTCTTGGAATC